CTATTGCTATCTCCAATCCAGTTATGGAGAAGGAAGCCTCTGAAAGCTTGCAACAGTTCACAGGTGATAACAGGCACTCTTCCTCCTTGCCCTCTCCCCAAAGAACGGATACATACATGCACATCCTTGCCAAGCCCAACTAAGTTTCAGGATAACATGGAAGGCAGCTTTGTTACAGATAAAATCAGCAGCCAAAGCCCAGGGCCACTGAGGATTCAATAGCTATGCACTGAAGATGGATACTTTCAGTAGCAAGTCCCCAGCTTCTTATGAGATGAATGCAAAATGCATAGTTTGGAAAAATCATATACCTTCTTTCCCCCAAAATAAGGCAGGGTCTTTTTTTTTTACCCCCAAAATAAGCACTTGGTCTTATTATTTTTGAGTTGCAGGAGGTGGCGAGTGTGGTCACCTCATGGCAATATTTGGGGGGAGCATTTATTTTCGGGGGAAGGCTTATTTTAGTCCATGAGGTCAAAAGCCAGATTGGCCTTAATATCCGGGGAGGTTCTTATTTTCAGGGAAACAGGGTAGTCATAGATTTGTACAATGTTTCTATTTACTATGTAAGTGATCAGATAAGAGACCTGTACATTGGTTTTGTGGTTTCTTCATTTATTTAATGTGCATGCTCTATTTTTCAACCAGAAAGACTTAGAGTAACATAGAATAATGTTTTATAGAAAACATAGAAAAAGTCTCTCTTTTCACAGTCATAAGGACTTTGTAGTCATCTGTATTCATAAAAGGAAAGAAAGGTGATTGATAGCATCCATTGGTGCATGCATCACAACAGTTAGCATCCCCTAAAACACATTTTCCTTGGGATCACGTGTAAATGTTTTAGGGAATTACAATCCATGAGCATGAGCAATCCATTACAAACTCATGCTTTCAATCATCTTTTCCCCTTTGCATTCAGAGTGTTGCATAACCCTACTGCCTACTATCTGAAATGATAACACAGTGAAGGAATTATGGTGGAAAGAGATCACGAGTAGGCACCAATTCTTAATGTTTTATTACTCTTATAATAATTAGCTATAGTGAAAATGATGCGTAGTGCATAGAAGATAGTAGATGAAGTTTCTAAAGGCACAGGATACTCCATAATTAGTTTTTTCTAAATCTCTATAAAATTTATGATACTGAGAGTAGAATTTAGTATATTGTTATTCAAACCAAACATTTCACCTTACAAAAATGTATCAATGATGCAGTTATTTTGCAAGGTGAGTTTCTCTTCCAGTCTACTTGGAGCAGAAGTCAAACAGTTAAATGCTCTCAGTTGTTATAGAGAAGATTTCACAGTCTCCCATTTTTTAGAAATAGGGGCCTTTCCATAAATACACAGTCAGGGCAGCAACTGCAATACTGAAGACATAGTTGTTCAATCTTGGTCCAGTGAAGGCCTAGTCATGGAAGGTGAGGTACTTTAATATTAACTTACAAAGGAGTCTCAGATAAATTGCATTATTATTATTTAAACGGAAGCTTTTTGCAACAGATAAATGGAAGCTTGCCAGCAGAAATAAACCAAAGATAAGAATCAGCTTTGTTACTTGCTAGAAAGAACTCAAGTAGAAACCACTTAGAGGGAGTTTGATGACAGGATGTGGTCTGAAAACAATTCTGTTGCAAGGGGGCCATTACTTAGAGGTAATTTAACTGTGACTGTAGCTTACAGGGCAGGGGTCCAGAAGCGAACAAAAGTTCATCATTAATATACTGAAAACTCAATCCTTGTATTTAAATGAGCAACATAGAGATCATGCTAAACATACTAAGTCTTTTGGAGCACCTGTGAGTGTGTGCACAATCTGAATGCCTAGGACATGTTAGATAATCAACGAGTGAGATTGAAGCTTGCAGAAACTGTCAGCAGAGGGGGGCATTTTGTTCCTGTGCAGAAATAAAGTGTTTGAATTCCACTTTCCTCTACTCTGCTTATTGCAGGATGAATGAAGAAAAAGATAATTTCTGGCCAGCAGTGCCAATAAATCATGGAAAGTTACACAATATGGGAAGGGTCAATAGGAACTTTTGGTATCCCTAATGTCTGTAGCTAAGGACTCAAGGGCTGAATATTGCCAAGGACTATTAAGTTACATGGTTCCATTTAATAAAGATTCCATTTAATAAAGCTCCTTCAGAACTGAAGGAGCTTCATGGGTGAGAAGCAAAATGTTTTCAAGGAAAAAAAAACCAAGAAAGTCCATTTGCCTTTTGGAAAAGCACTTTTGGGACAACCATGACCTAGATAATTGAGATATAACATTTAGTTATAGCCAATGTTATTTGCTTGATATTTTGCATTAATGAAAATATTTATATTGAAGCATTATACTTTGTTGTGAAACATAGACATGAAGAATAAAGGTGAAGCTCAAAATAATGAAAAGTTTGCTTTAATAAAATCCTGTCCAGGAAGCAGTGGCCGTCCATCATATACTGGTATGTAATTGTTAATTAAAAATAGCCAATGATATATTTGGTTTAATGTTATTTTGAGTAAACATGCAACTGTCTCTAGAACTATATTTCCACATGTTGACATGATAATGCGCCATGGATTTTGTTTCCTTAAAATAATCTCAATGTCACTAAATTATAGGTTCATAGCTAAGCAAATGAAGATGACATACTATAAAATATGTCCAGAGAGGTAAGTGGTGCAAGTGAAGTGAAGGTGTTCACATTTTAAAAATAACTGAGATTTAACTTATTTTTGCTTTAGAATTATTGTTTTGCTGACATTTTGAACAATTCTCACTGTGGACCTACCAGACAATTAGAAGCAATGTTTGTTCATAAATGTGTTTGTATTTAAAACATTATTTAAAACATAGTTTGTTTATGTGTATCAATAACTCACTGAAATCCCAATGGTATGGCATTGAATTCTATAAATTAACAAGTTTTCAAAGATTTGGTTACCCTACTGATATATAGAAATTTTGCTTGTTGTGCATAGATGACCTTATGCATACTTTTATTAACCAGTGATCCTTTCAGTTTGTTTTTTGCTCCTGTCTGACTCTCCCAAACATTCTTAACATTTTTATTATAATAGTAACAGCAATGCACGGTATATAAAAAAATGCAGGTTAATAATATAAAAGAATTATTCAATAAAATTTATTTAAAACATAGAAGATGCCAAGATCTATGTTTATTTAATTGTTAGAACTGACTGAGGCCAATGCCATGCATATAACTCCAGATCATGAAAATCAAATGCAAATATGTATATTCTATTATTCCTTTATATTAGTACATAAAATCATTCATACCAATTATTTTATAATAGGTTATAATTCTTATAATGCCTAGCTGGTATGGCTGGTATGGAAATATAGGTAAAAGTTTACTAATGAAGAATAAAAATACTTTCAATTAATTATTAGCACTATTTTAAACAATAATATGTGTTAAAAATTAAACCAGCAGCCTAATTATGCTCAGCGCTGAAAAACATTGACTGGAGGATCTTAATTGGACAATTCTTTTGAATTGTAAAAAAATAAATTATTTTTTTTAAAATCTGCAATAAATTTACAGTGTAAACTTCCATATTTACTATTTCTACCTGTAAGCAAAACAATATTTTTTTGTTTCCTGTTTATGCAAAAAAAAGGTTAATTGGGCACTTTTCAGAAGGCAGCCTTACAGTCAAAAGTACTAAGGAATAAAGATTTAGGATAAGAGAGAGAAAGTTGATAGGTTCAGGAAAAAAGAGGAAAACCAAAAGAAAATGTTTTCTACATACAGACACACAAAAACATATACATATATATACATATACATAGGTACTATAAAACAAACGCAAAACAATATTCTGGTACCTATTGCTAATCAAATATTAATAAGCATGGAAAATAGATTTCCTTTAACAGAAACAAAGTATTTTTTCCTTTCATGCAATGTTGCTGCTGATTACTAACTAAATAATTTTAATAAAGAATCATTTTACTTATTATCAACCTGCCTCTAAATACATGAAATAAAGCTTGATTTTCAATACATTAGCCAATCTGTAAGACTTGATTTTCATGACAACTAGAATTTTATTCCAACACTTTAAAGCTTTAAAGCCGAAGGAGACGCCTAGAGCACCTNCTTGTTGCTCATTGCATATCTTATAAATTCTCGAAAGCCTCGATCAGTTTCTTTAATCAGCTTATCTTTGGTTATCAGTAGTGCTTTTATCAAAGTTCCACTTCTTAAATCCATCAATTTCTTTTGTATTAATAAATGAACAAATGTAAATTATGGACAAATAAGTGAGAAAACACTTGAAATATTTCAATAACATGCAAACTGGCAAATGATTATTTGAAGATTGTTGCCTCCAAAAGCAACAAATTGAGCCAACTCAAATCTGCTTAATGAAGGCTGAGAAAACTCCTGCTTTTAAGCTTGATTCTGAGTCATGGATTGCCTCCACCTCACCTCACCCAATGGATGTCATAATCCCTTTCATTCTCCAGATTTATTGGGCTACAGTTCCCATCATGAGCAGACACTGAAATAAATCATCAAAGCAGAAGCTGAGGTAATGGGATGGGGTAAAGTCAAGGGCCTTTCTTAGGAGGAAGCATATATTCTGTAAAAAATATGAGCACAAATCCCAAACCAATGGCAAGAGGACCCTACAAAGAAGATGGTGAACAGAGTGTTTTCTTGGTTTTGCTCATAATCAAATGGACTTCAGAACAACCACAAATATTTCAAAACCAGACCAGGAAGCAACTTCTCTTTCAAATCATCACATTTCATCTCAAAGGACCTTCTCCAATTAGTTAGGCTTTTCTTTTGTCCATTAACAAAGATCTTCAAAATATGATATTTAAATAAAACATTAAGATTACTGGTAAATAAGCCCAGCAAGAATTTAAAAAGGGAAAGGATCAGGAATGCTTAGCCAATGGGTCTCAAATGATTATCAAAAGAAATATCAAACTATCTGAAGTTTGATTATCTCTCTCTCTACTACTTAGGGTGACAGAAAAGATGCCTCTGGGGAGGATCATACTTACGAGGTAAGCAACAGAGTGAGAGATTCTTAGTCTTAACCACATAAAAATATATGCATTTTTCTTCACATTCCATGTTTGCCTGTTGTCTTCAGGCCAGAGAATTGCAGCCAGCCATGGAGAAGCCTTTCATTCTTTTGCCAAAATGTTCAATTCCTCTCTTCTCCAGGAGGGGCTTGGAAACACCCTATCTGAAACTCTGGGGAGCCACTGCCACTTTAAACAAATACTTCTGTCCTGGATGGATTATGGACCTAGTTCAATACTGTACAAGTCGGCTTCTTTCATTCTTGACTTCTGGCTGAACAGTCCACCAGTCAAGAACTGGACTAGAAGGGCCTCATTGAGGAGGATTCTTTTTATGTCCATAGGACATCTTTTGGGCAGTTCTTTTACTGGCCTGTAGAAAGAACAAAATGGAGTTGGACAGTATGTTTCTACCCCCTCCCCTCTCCTCCCCAAAAAAACACAACAAAGTGCTTGTTGCCCTAGTTGAAACACTTTCCATTCGTTGACTGGTTCTATTTTTCTTCTTCACCAGGGGCTGACGGTTGAACTAGCTGATACGTATGAAGACATTGGGGTTTACCAAGACAGACCAGAGAAGTGGGATTTGGGGGAACATCCATGTGAAGAATAAAATGGCTAGCAGCTTGGTCAACCACAGCTGACTTAACCAAAGGGCCCCAATTCCTGGGGCAAACAGGGTCCACTGTAAAAATTCCACTCTAGAGAAGCTTTTAAAAGGTGCTTATCTCTTGCTTGCAGCCACTCTGCTAGAAACTACTAAAAAGCAGTATTCACAATTTCCAAGTTCCCTGAGACTGTTGAATCAAAGACATTCAAATGGGGAGAAGGGAGAAGGCAGGCAGAGACAATTTGAGGCACACCATAAAAATGAAAACAAAAAGAACTGAGAAGAATATGTAAGTAGATGGGCTTTCTGGCTTGAGTTTGCTCAACATTCCATTCCCCAAATGGCATTTTTAAAAATTGAACATTTTCTGCTCTTTCCTGGCTAGGCAACAGAGCATTGAATCTGATAAACTAGTATCTAGCATCACATTGCTTTAGTTTCTTTAACCCAAGACCCTCCAGATGGTCTGGGACCAATGCTCCCAGAATTCCTTACCAAGATGTCTATGGTGAAAATATCTGAAATATATTAGTTATATAGGACATAATGTTTCCTACTGAGATTTACAGTTTTGTAGTTAGGATTTTCCTTCTTTAGGCTCATGTTTTAAAAAAATATCTAGCATCCTTATGAAATAATTTCAAACATATATGCTGAACTTTTCAAAA